GGGGGGGGGGGGGGGAGAGGGGAGAAAAATATTATAGCCCTGGGCTGAGATTTTGTAGCTCAAGTTACAGCCTAGACTCAATTCTAACTGTGGGGCTATAAGCCCCTGAAATAGTGGCTTATATCTGAAATTATTACATACTTCTTATGTAGCAGTAGTAGCAAATAATGAAATAGACCTCAAAACAGAAAGAAAAATATTTTTACAGTAAAACAATCTTGCTCTCTGATTTCAATTTAGTTGTATAAATTGATAAAAACATGCCATTGAGAATAACAGTGATCATATGACTAGTAAATATAGTTTTTAAAAAGTTTTACAAATCAAGATTAAAGTTGTGCAGAAAGGTACTAGTTTGCATGAAATGACACTTTGGTCATTATAACTATGCAGTGTGCACACTTCTGCTTTTTCACTATATTTATAAATTAAAAGGTGTGCTGCATTTCATTATCATTAGCTGTATTTTAGGATGCCAAAAAGTGAAACAAATGGTGTAACAATTACTTGTGTTTCAGTTATATCATTAAAAATTAGTTCTTCAAGATCTATGTTTCATTCATTTAAGTAGAGCCTTTATTGTAGGCAAATGGTCATGCTGTTAAATATAACTCCAAATCAGTCATACTTTTCTCTGCATTTTAGTTCTACAATTTTTTTCATCTTGCCAAATTCCTGCATAAATAGGTGGGATTAAATGGAGCCTAGCCTACCTAACATAATTATATATGTTGTGATTTTATACTGCAATGAAACTGATACATTTTAATAATCCCAGTCTTGGCTCTTACCCACTAAAGTCAATAAAGGTTATTAAGGCCAACTGCCATATAAATACATTGCTACATTGCTAAATGGACTGTCAAAGCAGGAAATACAATTCACACCATAAAGCACTACTAGGGTCTTCAGTTATTTTCTTATTTTTTTAAAAGGAATGCTAGATATGTTTAAAAAAAATCTTTAAAGGTTTGATATTTAAGTATAATCATATAGGTTTGTTTTTCATTCCACAAACAAAAACCATTTCATTGATTTACAGTTTACTTATTCAAATGTGAATCAGCCTAAAAATAAAATAAAAAAAAAAGACTTTAAGACTTCTGCAGTTCTTACTGATTTGGCATGGTGTTAAAAGATTTTCATAGCTAAAATAAATGTCAGATTGCAAGGTTTGCATGATATTAGACCCTGAGAGACAAATTGTCTCTCCACTGAATCTCAGAACAGCTACAGCAAGACTTCCTCACATCACATGAGATTTCAGCTTTTCAGACTTCTCTTTACCCAGAAAGCAAAGCTTGTACAGTCTTTTTTCAAATGGTAACTCTCCCTTTGAATTCAGCAAGCATTTATCCTGATGTTGCAGATGATAACGTGTTAATCTTGGATGACTTTTTAAAAAAAAAAAACCCTCAAACATTTGAATAGCCTTCGTATTTTCAAGGGAGGGGGGAAAAAAAAGAGAAGATTGGTTAAACTGCTTTGGATTTAATGGCTCATAAATTCATGAGGTAATATTGTGGGAAATGTGATGTTTTATCAGAATGTCATTCAAATGAAAGGTTTAACATTTACATCACAAGAGCTAGCTCTAAGTAAAACTATCCTCAGGGAAAGAAATGCCAGGAATAAACATTATGATAAAATTGTATGCTTTCTATAATGTACAAAAATATTTAATAAAGCTTAAAGGTTTGAAGACAATGGGTTAAACTTCCTGCAGTATCATACTCTGATGTGACGCTGGAGTAATCACAATTAGCAGAATCAGAAATTATTTTGGAAACTTTCTTTTGTTCTTTATAACTGCTTTACTAAACAAGGTGGGGGAGGAGGCATGCAGGGACCCCAAGACTGTCTTTTGTATCAATGTAGACATATATATAAAAAAACATAAGTCAAGAGTTGTTCAGCTCACATGCAAAAGTGAGAAAAATACATTGCTTTAGTATTTTCTTACAAGAAATAATTCCTTTTAAGCAACGGTTTTTTTCTGAGTCAAGATCAACAATTCCAAGACATTTTTACTTTTAGCATTTTGACCTTTTTTTTTTTTTTTTTTTTAAAGAATCATCCAGCTAAAATTATAAGTTTAGAGAAAAAACATCGACTATAGACTACTGGGTACCTTCAGAAATACCTTTTTGATTTAACTTAATGCTGTGGAAGCTAAGCATGCACCAAAACACTACACTTTTTATGTTAAATTGCTGTTGAATTTGTTAACCCACAATTGATTTCCTGTGTTATGGAATCTTAGAGATTACAGCTAACTTGAAGCAACGGGGATAATTCTTGATGTTAATGCTACATTTCTTGTATTTTTACGAAGTTAGTGCCTGTTGTTGCATTAAAACTGCGGCTCAACATTGCCCCCTACTGTCATTTTGTGAAACTCTAAAGGACAAAATGTAGGTTACATTAAAAAAAACCCCACCCTACCTCCAAATCCCAGATACAGTAAGCATCAAATTTACTGAAAGACTCAACAAAACAGACATTCTCAATTAACATTCTCTTCTGTCTCCTTCAATAGCTGAAATTAATTGTGATTAATATGTTATAAGTCATAAAACATTAAAGCAATTTTTAAAATTTAAATTAGAAGCAGCTTCTGTCTTGGCCCAACCTTCAGTTTACTGATAAATATCATCCTGAGGCCTGTTGAAAGGAGATACACTGACGCCACCATGTTTCTAATTAGAGACACATGGTAATGTCACACCAACGGCAGAAAACCTAACCCTTGAGAATTCCTGAGTTTGCTGTTTTTCCATGTTCTCAACACACAATGGATATAAAATAACAATCAAACATTCTTGTCTCTACCTCATCTAAGCCTGTGTTACAAGAGAGTAAGTTGTCATTTCAAAGAAAAACAAACCAAAAGATTTTTTTTTTAAATTATAAAGGTCAATTCAAGAATGTGAGCACATAAGAACACAAAAATGAAAGAAAAAACCCACATAAAGAAGTTATAAATAATTTTTCTCCTTTTGTAGTAAAGTTTAATGTTCACTCATTCCTTGTAGCAACTGATTTCACAAATAAAAGTTCTACTTTTCCACACCTACTTTCCAAGTCTGAAATCAGCCATTGCTGGAAAAGCTTACAACACATTTAAGCAGGTTAGTGAGTCACAGCGTTTCCCTCAAAACTCAAGAGCATATCCTTGTTGCACCATACCTCGAGATTCAAAAAGACCTCTAACTACAAACCATATTCAGCATCCTTGGTTACATTACAAACTTCCAACTGCCAGGAAATTGAGGCTTATGCTGTGACCGTCAGAAATGACCAAGAAGGAGCTTCTAATGCAGACATAAGGATACGAGTAAGACATGTCTGTCCATATAGTTCTTTTTGTATACGCATCTAGAGGCAGGCACACTGGCAACTCTATCGAACACTTCAACTAGCAAAGTCTCCCAACTGAGCCTAAGTATGAGCAAACAGGTTAACAGTGCTTGACACTGAGTCCATTTTCAAGGAAAGAAGGGAGGAAGTTTCAGGTATATAGGAACCAATATTACTAAAATTTTTCAAGAAACTAATCTCATCTTGTTGGTTCGTTATGGTGTAAGTGTGCAGGTGGACTATGGATAGTTGTCCCTCCAGATCATCAGATGCTACTCTCAACTTTCCTCAGACACATTAATTATTGTTGTCATTAGCAGAGCGGTCTATCTTGGTGTTGTATGGAAAGGTTGACCATACAGTTTCACGGACCAATTGCTGTGATGTAAGGTATGACTGTCATCTTACGAAGCTGTCAAACTTTAAAAACAAGCAAAGTCAGAAAATAACTAAAATCTTGGGGTTTTCAGATCTTACTTTGCTCCCATTGTTTCTGGCTACTGGGGAGAAAAATAAGAGGAGACAGTGGAAGGCTGTTACTGATTCTACTTTTCATATGTTCTGAATAAAGTTCAAAATCTGTTACTACGGTACAATTAAAAACATAATTGTCAGTGCTCTCAGAATTAAGCTTTAGAGGCTTTAGACTACAGAACTAGTACTTACCATAATCTCCATTTTTCTCCAAAATTCTTCCAATTTAGCCATAGGCTTAAGCCACCAATCAGTGCATTTCAAATACCGCTTGCCTTGAAACCAAAACTGCCTAAGCCACTCAAATTCAACCTGCAAGATAAAAGCATACAGTAGCATAAACACCTATGTTCATTATTTGGGGCAGGAATGGGGTAATGCATAATTCCAGCTATACCTGAACACTCCCATAAAAAGGAAAAGGCTACTGAAGTATTCGTTTCTGAAGGCACCCTTACACCCAGCTGTTTTATTTCTATTCCACATAAATTTGTGACCTGAGCTACTCCCTTCAAACCTGGAGAGGTACAAAACCCAATTCTTTTCTTTACATGTGGTACACGTAGAATGAACGTTAAAAGTTCAGGTTTACTCACGGTTCAGACAAATGTATACAAACTCTGGTTATTCTGGTTAACACTGCAGGTTTCAAAATATTTCAGTCATAGAAAAGATGGAAAAAGCTTGCAGTAATAAAACAGCTAGTCATCCCTTGCCCTGGAAGGAGAGTCGCACTACAAGGAAACATGGTTTCTCATACTTGCTGCAGTATTGCGGCTGCCGGTGACCTGCCGTGACCCCGGCGCGCTCCGGGCAGGCGGCCTGCGGGGAAGGGCCCTGCTGGATCTGACAGCAAGCCACGCCCCCCACCGCGGCCTGGCAGCAAGTGCCTTGTCTCGGGCAAAGCCACTTTACAAAGGGCCCAAATGCCCCACTGGAGCAATACAAAAATCCGTCAGGAGCAAGCCAATCCTTTTACTCAGAATATGAAGCACAGCGGAAGATGTAACACTTTACTAGTTGGGGTATTTTTCTAAATTTCATACATGGACGGCCCACCAACTTAAAGACAAGAGAAATATTAGCTTAGTAAAACAAAATATAAATGTGTAACTCATCAAATATTCTTTAAGCAAAGTCATTCCACCTACCCTGATTTCCAGTGAGCCTTTTTTCCTTTAACTGCAAGCCATACTTTTGGTCTTTAGAAATCTGTATTTATCTTTCTTGTGGTAGTTATGTTTCACACCAAGTTCAAAGCTGTTTTAATCATTATTTCTACCACAAAGAGGTTTTTGTTTACCCTGCCCAGATCCGATGAAGCAAACAATGACAGCCTGTCAAGGTGAAAGAATAAAGAAAACTGCCCAAAGCTGTCACCTAACACTTTCTTACCTGTAAGAGTGAACAGAATGGCTACAGAAGTCTGAAAGTGTTCCAGTTAACAGTAACTAAATGTTTGGTTAATGTATGTTAAAGAGTACAATAATAGATACTTAAATTTGAAGTGTATAAGAACAATATTAAAAAAATTTTTTTGGTAAAATATAACAACATGAGCAGTAGGCAGACATAGATCTTAAAAAACTGACTGCTAGCCTAGTGACTTTTTAGCACTTAAGTCTGATGGCATCCTTTCTGTTAAAAGCTGAAGGAAAGTTTGCTTCCAGTATTAATGAGGTATGAAGGATCAAGTTATGGTTTGTTAAAAAAACAGTATACAGTATACACAGTTTTGTGAAGGTTGAGTATATCAAACACTCAATATGTTTTTCTCCCCCCACTTCTTTTTGGTTTAGCTGACCTCTACCATGAAAGGGCTATAACACATGATGGCTGGCAAACGTGTCTCATGAAATGAATCACATGAGGCTATTAATCAATGAAAATTTTTAAAAAAAATTTAAAATCAATGTTACACTATGTCTCATGATGACAAGAATCTATTTCAGTCAATCTGATTTTTGACAAGTCATATTGATTTGTTACATTAATCTATGTAATTTCAGTCTAATTCAAGTCTGGCATCTTGGCCAGATTTTAAATGTATCTCAATCCTGTACAGAAGATACAACTTGACACAGAAGAGCTGCTTTTTAGGTGCAAGAGGTAAAGTTTAGCAACAGGCTACTTAATCTTCTCCAGAATTAGCTGGTCTCATCAGAGGTCAGTGCACCAAATTGCAATGTGTGGTTGTTTAACAGTGTGGACTACCATTTACTAGGGTTCTCAAACTCAGATCCACATTCATCTCACAATGTCTCCATTTACTTCTAAACTGAGTTAATAAAATGGGGGTTGGGGAGAAAAAAACTAGTGTTTTATCCACCGACTTCGCTATCAAGCTGCCTGACAAGTGACTGCTCTGAACTATCACCACTGAACAGATAACGATTCCGAAAGAAAAAAAAAAAATCAGCTTGATGAGGCAATCATGACATGATTTCTCTATCACTCCATCCTTGTTTTAGACATATTCAAGCATACTTAGAAAATCTCCAGAGATTCCAGTTATGCTAAATTTGATATCTGTAATTAACACATGAACACTTTTACACCACATTCATTACTAAGTACATGTTTTAACAAGAACAGATGCTATCTGCTTTCCAAATTCTCTTAGAAGCTGTATGTCCTCTTGCTCTCACTGGGCTCTATTCAGTAGTATCTTTACCTGAAGCACGAAGGCACTCCTATCAGCTTGCCTCCTTCCATGAACAGGAGGAGCTCTACCAGGAAAAAGTAAAATGCAACAGCAAATACTGTAGAGAGACAAAAAACTCAATTCTGGCCTTAGTGGAACTGAAGTTACAGAATATTCACCCTCTGTGACAAAACTCTCAGGTTAACAGCTCTTACCAATAATTTTGTCAAAGAGTTTTAATGAGGAGACTCCCATATATCAGAGCTAACTTTAGTTATCATTGGAAAGAAGTTCACATGCCTGAACAGGAGAAACCTTAAACATTAACAATTAAAAATATATATGCAGAGTATTTGAGGAACAATTTTCATCTCCTAATTAGTTTTCACTTATGACTTACATTTGTGCAAGTAAGCTCAGAATCAGGCCTTGTGTGTCTGACCTCAACATATTTTCAAATTGTCCTTTAAACAGTGATTAAAGGCCAATTTTAGATTCTAGTCAATACTGGGGAGTGAAAGGCCAACAGTAACATATGACATTTTGTGAGGCAGTGCTCCTCAGTCAATTATTTAAAACTATTGGTTATTAAATGCCACACATGTAGATGATCCATAGTTTCTCTCTGCCGTACTAGCTAGCCACCAACCATGCTGTCAGCTCATTGTGATGTGCTAAAACACATTAACTTTCCTTTGCCTGCATACACCACTACCCTTTCTCAGCAGTGACCTCAGTGTCTAACACCACACACCTTCAACTTAGCTAGCCCAGGCTTTTCTACATCCCTATGCATTTACCACACTTACATTTATCTACTGCTGCCATAAAAATAGATTTGCTGAAGGCAAAAGTGACTGTACCTCACAAGCAACAGAGCAACCAACTCAGTCTCTAAGTTTTAATCACAGTAATCGGGATTTGATAACCATGGCTGTGCAAAAACTCTGATGAGGGCAAACCCCTACCTTTTCAAACTTGAGCACTTTGAAACCTGCTACATTTTCAACACAATCCCCAGATGCTAAAAAAAACTTCTGCTAGTGTTTTACTTCACAGAGAATATCCAATTATTAGTTTGATGCTGGCAAATAAAGAAGCCTTGAAACTACCTCACACAACATGAACTATTACCAGGTTTTCCATTACTCAGAGTAAGGAAAACAATTGTTCTTTGAAATGTGAAGAATAGGCTGATGATGATCTTCTCTACAGATTTATTTTTATATATATGAGCATTTACATCATCTGTCCAGCAGTGTTTTATGACTTTAAAAAGCATTTATTTGCCAATGGGTTTCAACAGGTCCCCTGCAGCTCTGTTTAGGACATACCCAGAAGCTGTACATATTTTGGAAAGCCAAGTGTGATTCAGTAGGGGCAAGAAGTTCACATTTAGTGAACTTTGCAAGGTCATTTATTTCAGGATAAATTATTACTGGCCAAACAGCAATCTGATTGCTTGAAGGAGTAACTTTAATCTCTTAACACTGTGTGCATTGTTAGCCTATTGTACTTCACAGCTGTCCAGGTAATTACTTGTATTCACCCTCCTACACTCTGTTCACCGGATACCCTGCTATTGAAGTATTTGTTCAGACTTCAAGCCCATAAGCTACTGAAACAAGCAGCACGTGAACACCCTTAATTAAGGTTATCTTACAACTACAAAGTACATACTGGGAGTGAAGTGACTCACACATCTAACAAACAGCACATACCTCGCAATTACTCAGATATTCCTTTGAAGGCTGTTTTAGTGAGGGAGACCACGACAACAAAGCTATGTCTAAAGAAATATTAAACTTCGACCTGGCTGCCCACCAGAGATGCTAAAACCTTCCTCAGGTTAGCATCTTACTTTTTCGACAGGAATATCTCTGTCAAGACATTCAAGACAGGGCTCTGACAAATGAAATCTAACATTAGTAAAGACATCCCCCACATACTCACCCATACCTCTTTTAGAGGTTTCTCTGCCCACCACAAAAATGGAGGAAACTATGTCTCCACCTATGCTTCAGATCTTCAACTTAAGTTAAAGTTGAAGCCCACTTTATCAGCACAGCAAGTCAATTTTCCTGTCCAGGAACACATAAGTATAAAGCCACAGAATCACACCTCATTGTTTCAGACTTTCTCTTAGGCTTTTTCCCTCTAGCAGACACAGATATTTCATCTAGACCTCATTTGGCAGAGCAGTTAATTTCAGCACAGACTGCGATTCTGTGCTGAAGTACTATATTTTAGCTTAGTCACACTTAGCCTGATGGTACTGTGATGGTTCTGTTCTAGTTAATGATCTCTGATGACTACTTCAAAGGTGCCAGCAAAAGGGTAAAAAACCAAACCCGTAGCATTTCAGGAAGAAGAAGAACTTAGAACAATGGCTGCATCTAGTTATCCAAGTTAAACCCTGTGAAGAACTTCAGTCATGACAATACTTTAAAGTAAAATACAACTGTATCAGAACCTCTAGAGATTAAATACTACCGAAGTTCAAGCTCATCATCTCTGGTTAGGAGGAACAGAAAAAAAAATCACGAGGAGGTTTAGGACTAGCACAGAGAACTGTGTATCAGACAAAATATAGAGGTGAAACTGCGTGGCAGTTCTCCATTAATTCTATGCTTGTCTTTTTGTGCAATTTTTTTCTTTTGTATTTAAAAATATTAACAGACTAAGAAAAAACCCAAAACATTGACCAAATCCTGACCACACTGATCAGATGAAAACTTCATCAGTAAGCAGTTTGATTCTTTAGAGAAACAAAACATGTTCTTGTTCTTCACCTGCCTGAGAAAAACTGAACCCGAAACCTGTATTAGTGCCTGAAAATACAAAGATTTATCATACAGTGAATAAAAGAAGGTAGAAATCTTTTATATGTAAAAAAAAGTTGCATTAGCCTCACAGATCCATATGTTTTCACTTCAGTGATGTTCGAAAGAGATATGCATTTACCACAGCGATAAGCCACTAGTAGTTTTGTCTACTTGTGCAGCAAACAAATGAAATTTAAGTAGCACTTTAACATATGGAATTTATTCTTCAAATGAAGAGGTGACCTTGGGATAAAAAAAAAAAAATAATTAAAAGAGAGGTGAATAGGTATTCTCTTTTCAAAAGAAATATAAATCCAGTGTGTCTACTAAGTCTAAGTGTGCAATATGTACAAGTTAAACAATGATTTCTGCTACAGTATATCCCATATGCGTAACAGGAAACATCCCTGTATGTCACATAGCAAAATTATTCAGGTGACTGCAAACACCAGGGGCTAGTCTCTCACCTGATGTAAACTGCACATGTCTTTGATGTTAAAGGACCCGTGCAAATTTACACCAGCTGTACATGTGGCCCTAGCTGTGCAAACCACATATGCGTGTAGTTTTATGGACTGAGCCTGATTAATGTTTTGTAAAACCTTGCATGCATCAGACTTCTTTAAATTGCTCTAGGAGATGTTTTGGTAACAGTCAGGAGTGCAGATCTTTTGCCATCACACTATGCTCAACTGTAAACACAATAGATAAAAACATATTCTGTGAAGGTTTTAGTAAAAATACACATTATATTTCTAAGCAGATAGCAATTTATAAACAGTTAACACAAATGCTAATTTGAGTGAAAATTACCTGTATACTATACAGTTTCTAATAGTGATTGTGTGTTAACTTAGCAGAAATATAGCACAGCCCCTTCAAAATGTCTGAATATAGGAGTACTGTGAAAAAACACTAGCATTTAAGCAAAATGTGGTTCAGAAGTTTTTATTAACTGGATGCTATAGCTGTTTTTAAAAAGAAATTATCATCAGTGCTTTAGTTAGAAAGAGCTGAAAGCTTTGTTTCTGGTAGTAGGACAGCTTTCCAGAGCAGATAAACGATCTGTCTTTTTAAACTCTAATACATAGCCTTGACTTAATTTTCTGTAACTTTCAAAAAAAGAAAGAAAAAAAAAGAACTAAATTTACCATCTTCAGAAACACTACCTTTGTAAGAAGATCCAGTCCATTGTGTCACGCTCCTGACTATCCGTTAACAGAGAAGCCAAATTACATTTTTTGTGACACTGCCTACTTTTATACCACAGGAAAAGTTACCTGTTTCTGCAGTTTCCCAAAACACTGTCTGATATATTCAGTTCATTTTGTCAAATCAGTGTGTTTGTTGAGTCCAGACCTGTGCTTCAAGCAAGAAAGCACTGCCAGTTTCAGTGGAATCCTGTGCAAGTGCATTGTTACACTTGCATACTTAACTATGTCCCTCACAATTATTTCCAGTGTACTTTCTTCAGAATATGCTTTAAAGCACAAGCAATAATGTCACACCTGGCACTCTGTAAAACCCTGGTTCAACACCTGATGAACAACTGAAAAATTTTACCTGTTCTTTCCCTCTAATTTTTTTCTCTCTCCCTTTTTGTTAGAGAAGCACTACTTTGGTTTCTCCACCACACTACAGATTTCATGTAATATTTTTGAAACTGCTCTTATATTCTACCAGCAGAGGGATCTTAAGAAGGAAAAATGAAAACTTCATGCAAGTGAAAGAACCAATCCAAGTTAATCCCAATTACTGTAGCCAAGTAAAAGTCATAAAAAACACACTTCAAACTTACACAAAGCAATGCCCTGTGAGCAGCTGAACACACTTAATTACCACTGACTCCAAGAGCAGACTTCACCTCTCAGAACCTGGCTGAAGTATTTTTCAGTGCAGATCATCTCACCTCATTATGTATTTCTTCTACTTGCTTTACAACTGCAGTTTCCAGTGATTTCAAAGATAAAGCCATTGAATCAGAATCAGTCTGTAAATTCTGGAGTGCCAGTTCACATTGTCCAAATATGTATTCCAATGTTCCTCTTGAACACTAATAAAGATACAATAAAAATGTATATATAGTCACTTCAGAACATATGTATTACTTAAATATACTGAACTATTTACTTCTGAAATAAAGTGAAGGAGCAGAAGGGATGTGTTTCTGTATTTTTATTTGAAGATCTTATAATCAAAAGCCTCCTGGATTGTCTATAGTTACCGATATAAATTATGCAGAAGACTAGTCCATCAAACATCTACCCAACCAGTACAGCATAGATTGAAAGGAGAAAGCAAAGAATTCTTTTAAAATTAATTTTACAAATATGGCATACAAAAACATGGTCGGGTTTTGACAGTATTTCAGAATCAGTTGTATTTTCCCAGTTGTATGGGTTCCTAGTAACACTAAAATGGAGTTCCATATCCAGTCTGAGACCTGTTTGCTTACGAGGTACAGAGAATATGAACAGAACAATTTTGCACTTCTGCTCCTTTTGTTTTGTCTTCATTACATTTCCTTCAAAGGAAGGAAAATCTGTAGAAGGAAATCTGTAAAAACCCTTTTGAAACAAAACAAATAAGACATCTACATCATTTAATTATTTTCAATTAAATATCTGTACCTTCATTTAAGTTTCCAGGAATTATCTTGAATAAGGACCTCATGGGTCTTGTATTCTTTGTAAAAAAAAAAAAAAATCCCCACTATACAATTTTTTAAATATTACAAGTATATGTTTATGTGTCCATGTTTGGTGTTATTGCTTAATTTCCATTCCTGCACAAATTAGGAAGAGCAATGAGGAAAAAAAAGTATATGGATACATGTATCTCTCTTGCTCGAATAGCAGTATATTTTGCCTTGCTGAAAGAAGAAAATGGTAACTGTAATTTTTAAAAATATTTTTTTACAATACAGTCTTTTTATTTTTCTGTATGCTTTCTTATTAGAATACTACATAAACAAAACTGCTGATATCACCATGGAAAGGACTAGGGAGGGGAGGTTTAGTGTGGAAAAAAAAAAAGTGTCTTTGCAGTTGAGAATAACAGGCTGAAGCCTTGTTATCTCAAGAAAGGCTGAGACAAGGGGACTCTGTGTCACTTTTCTGCTTCTTCAATCCTCAGATGCACCAAAGGATCCAATTTAAAGCATACTCATGACTGTTCTTAGTTGTTCTCACCTCCTAAAGGCCATTTTTGCCAGTGGACATTGCTGATATATTTTGAGTATTTCTCTCTCATCATGAATATTGTCTTTCAACTAGGACCAGGTTATGAGCACAATAAAAAAGTTTTAAAACATTTCATGTAAAAATACAGTTGTTTCTACATTTTATCAGTAATCCATGAGGTGTGGTGTAGCACATTCTCAATTCATATTTTATATGCTTAACTGTGAATTTAGGCAAGCTACCAATACAGAAACAAGTGTACCTCAATTCAAAAATAAACAAATAGAAGTTGTTCAAGAAAAGAAAAATTAGTTTTACAAATGACCAAACAGCAAACCGTTTTTGATACTTACATCTGCCACTCTGTGAGTTGAGCTGAATCGAGGTGAAAAACCAGCCAGAACACAGTGCTGATGTGTCATATTGAGATCATCTAGGGACAGATTAGAAAACCTTAAGCACAGGGAAAAATTATACTTAATAAAACTTACTATGGCTGAATATAAATTAAAGACACTACATTAAGCATTTAAAGAGAAAAAATAAAGAATTCAGTCAGATAGTACTATCTTCACAGAGCTTTAATATTTAGCAGAGCGTGACAATTATTTGCTGACCTCTTCATATTAATTTTCTCCCTGTTTATAGGGTTTAAAAGTGGCATTTTCCCACCTCTTATGGGAAAAGTTCAACTAAACAAATTAATTCTTTCAAAGTCAAGGATCACTATAAACAACACACTACTCAGAAATTACATTCTCTTTTCTCTCACTGAACAATGTTGACATTTCTTGAAAAAAGAAACAGAGAAAAAAAAAAAAAGACGAAGACATATTATTTCATCTTTTTATCTGAAACTTATCTGAAGTTCTCCCTTCAGCTCAGAGCCAAGAAACTGGGAACTCAGAAAGCACAACCTGTTCAAAGACCTGTCTCCAAAGCATTTCATTTGTGACTTTCTTGTAGCTTGCCAGAGGGCTGTCATGGACTTGAGTTCATAGACTGGCAAACAAAACAGACCCACAAACCCTGTAGATGAAACCTATTTGCTTGCCATCAGAGTTTCATCAAAATTATTATAATTGAAGAATTCTTGAATTCTGACAAATTCGCACTTTTTAGAGAAAACATATTCCTCTAGAAAAGTTCAGACTAAATCTAGTAGCAACACTCCCTGGTACATTGAGAACCATTCATGAAGCGCTTCTAGTTCAAACAGTTTTGGAGTTAAAATTATGCTGCCCTCTCAACCTTAACAATACATTCAGGAAAATCATGACAAAATCTTTCAGAAATTTCTGTGAAATCTCTCCTGGGTTATAGTTTTGTAAGTTAGTAGAAAGAGTCTAAAAAAACCCATACAAAACTAAGTGATCTGACGTGTTACCAAGCAAAAAAGCTTCATAGACAAAATTAGAAGAGACCAGGAATAAAGACCTACAGGATGTCAGTTGGAGTCCCTACTTCAACAATATCTGTTCTATCAGGGAATTTAGCTTCAGTCATCTTAATACAGCATGATGAGACATTATAAAGCTCCACCCTTCCATCACATAAATATAATTTCTCTTTAAGAGATCAGTAATTCCATACTTGAAACCTGATTTCCCAAATTCCTACTAATTTTGGAAAATGCCCTTCTAACCAAAATAACAGACCATCAGAATGAAAAGAACACAGTGTGTGAGGTTTAATGATATTCTTTTTATTACTGAGAAAAGATATGCTCCAAAACATTTACTTTACCTTGCAAAAACCCTGAAACTTCAAAACTGAGAGGAGTCTAATGAATGAGAATTAAGAAAAATGACTGAATTTATCCTAGTTGTAAGAATAGTGTTGTCTTTTTAGGAATTTTATAAGCAACTATTAATGAATTTCATACCCAAGACAGAAGACCACATCTCAAACTTGAAAAAAATAAAAATAAAAATCAGAAAAGCAATTTATTTAAGAAATTGGCAGACATGTGTAATGAAAAAGGATTGAATACCCCATGAGAAAGTTCAGATGGGAGGTAAACTTATTTTCTATTTGAATGAAGTTTGCAGGTAGATGAAGTTGAAAAGCTTGGAAAAAAAATACTCCAAAACAAGTAAAAAAACACAAGAAAAAGCAATTTCCTACATAAATATATGAGGGTTAAATTGCTTAGAGCCAAGTCTTGCAAGGGCCACAGAACATTATCATCTCTAGACACTACAATATTTAAATATCACAATCACTTTCAAGAAGAATTTTCATGGAAAACAAACATAAACACTTCCATGACCCCATTCAGTGTGGTGTGTTTTATGTAGCACAACCAGTATTAGAAGTATTACAGTTTGATTTGCACCTTTACTCGAACTCTTGGCAAATCTTTCATTGTAGAACTCCCCCTTGAAATTGCTTCCAACTGTCTCTAATCCTTCGTGACTCTTAGAAAGAATCCTGTAATTTTAATTTAAGAGTTTATAATTCATCTAAAACTGTAATTGTACAAAAAAATAGTTGAAGCTTAATGGACTGCATGTCTCAAAACATTTGTAAAATACATTCTAGGTCTTAAAAGACTATAGTAAAGATTTGCTTTACTTTTTCTTCTAAAAATATATTAATTGAAAAGAAAAAGCACTCTTTGTTAAATTGGCCATTGTCCGTTTGGCAGGAAAAGCTTTTATTCAGATACAAACCACTACATCTAGATAACTATTTTGATTTTAGAGCCAAACCAAAACTGTTACCTTCCTTGGACACCCATGTCAGAACTGCCACAGTGCTCTCATGGTTTTAGGTAAAATACATATGGAGTTAACATCAGTTTTACATGACTAAACACTGACCGATGAGGTTTGGGAAACCAAAAACCCAGCCTCTCCAGTACTGCACATCACATAAAATATATGCATATAAAAGCAGGAATATACATATCAGTCCTGTTTTGGAAAACTGCATGCAGGCAAGCTATTTGTCAGACATTTCTCCTGAATTTGTGATGAGGTAAGAGCCAACATGGCATCTTTTCTGATAGGAAACAGTGGACCCTTAACTTGCCACAAATTCAGGACAACCATGGCAGACACATCTCATTTCAATATCTATCACAAAAACAAAACCCCACAAAACTTATGCGAATTGTATAATGCATATGAGAACCAACTTTTTTTTTTTTTTAATTTTAAACCACCATTAACACCAACTTAGCAATGTATTTAGTACAGTTTCAAGAACTGTCTCAGAATCCCATCATTTTCTTAAAAGTCTTGCCTTCCATATGGATGCTTACAAGATGCATATGCCAATTAACTGCTAGGTAACAAGTTTTGAGAATTGGACTACAATTTTCTGCTTACATAACTGTTCCTCTCCCAAAGCTTTCCCATGTCTATGAAAAATACTGTCATTTGCACAGACTATTTTTTGAAGACTAATCCAGCTTTTTGCTTGTTTACAAATTTGATAACACTACAAATTTTCCAAATTTAAAATAGCAATTCTAGAAAACAATGAAAAAGCTAATGAAATCCAACACATGTTAGAGTCCTACCCCGACCAAAGAGAATCTTCTCAATCAAAGCCTAACCACAGACATTAAAGTTGTTCATCTTTACCTGTACTAACAGGATACCGTTGTGCCACTGTGAAAGTGTGGATGATTACTTGCACTTCAGGCAGTATAATGCGTAAATCAGCCCAAACTACTGACAATATTGCAAAGGCCTTGTTTGCGTTCAAAGGAACACACCTTTGTTGGTAACAGACACGTGGTGTTTGCTGGAAAAAATAACTTCATTTTTCTGTCTGAGGTGGAGCAGATAAGAAACAAGGAGACTATTTCCTGCATACATGTACATGGCAAAATCCGTATTCTTTTAAATGGATTGTTTTATTCCTACTAATTTCTGCCTGCCACTTCCCAATGAATCATATGCCACCTTAGAGCCAGATCCCATTATAGGTCTACTATAGCTGAGACAAGATTTATTAAAAGAAATTAATCACATGTATGATTGTGTACAGGTGGCCAAAGCCACCTTGGAAAGCAAAGTTATCAACTTGAAGTCTGTTTAAATGATTTGGAGGTCAGGTTTTGACTTTACAGATGAAGTACTAGGAAGTCATAAGAATGTTTAGCAGATGATTAGCTGCAAATGCTTACAATTATTTCACACAGAATTTCCAGCTACAGAAACTTCAGATAACACACTTTGTGTAAAACATAGCTACAAAATGGAGGGTTTATTTAATGTAGATCCCTATTCCTCACACCTGAAGGAAATCCCCAAAACCAGAAAACCATCTAAGACACTTGGTGCTTTAATCCATTTATCCAGTAAGGCCTCTGTAAAGTTGGTAACTGACACAGAAAAACCTAACAGTAAGGAGAGGTTAAGGAACCTGTCAAAGTTTGCATGGAAATTCTGTGAGAGAAGCAGGTTTACAGCTCCTAAGACTAATGCTATTAACACTTGAGCACCCTTCTACTATCAGATGAAGACTATTATTTTCTATGTGGACCCCCTTATCAGACAAGCTTCTCAGCAATTTTCCTGCTATCTACAGCAGATTCATTTTGGAATTTGGATGTTGCATATTCTATTTTAAATTGCGGGAGCAAGTTTACGTCATAGACCTTTCTGTCCCTCCCCTCTACAGACTTCTGCCATCCTGTTCTTTTCTCAGATACATCCCTTGCAGCACATAATCTCAGCACAGTTCTCTCCACTGCTTGAAACTACTAACAGTTCCTCTCTTTTCTCTCACGTGTAGTTCTTCTCAGTTCCTGTTCACATCTCACTATATGCTTTCTTCTACACAACTGAATTACCTGGGCAACAACAGCAGAAACACTGAAAGCCCTGTTCTTGTATAGCCTTTGTCAAAAGAATGGAATAACGGATATGTATATGTAAATATATAGGCTTAACTAACGTACGTATACTTAGCTATTAGAGTGAGGTGAGGAGCCAAAGCACTCAGAGAAAAAATGACTGTATACCCATGTGACTGCAGACCATTAAAACATACAACAATACAAGGTGGAAAGAAAGGAAATTAATTCTTAGCCAGTCCTCACTGAAAGGAGTAGGGACTAAAGGCCCAAAACTTATCACTTCTAGGTAAAGTACTTCCCAGGAAAACATAAACCACGATGGAAATGCTCTCAGAATTAACAATAGGGGTTTATATCGTCTTTTCTATATTCTTTCAAGTCTTCTTCCTGAACTTTTTAGACAGTTATCTTTTTGTCATCTATTTCATGATGCAGATAAAAGGTACACTGGGGTTTAAAGCACTGGCAAAAGCTTTGATATTCTAAACACCAAAATATCTACACAGAAAACTGAAATGCACTTGTGCTATTAGTTTTCTTAACTGCCATAAACAAATAATTTTCTTTTTAACTATATTACAGTGCAATTTTTAAAAGCTTTCCCACCATTTCCAATTCTACTTGCATCTAACTGCATACAATGCTTCAACCAAATTAATTTTACTGTAGGTACATCAACAAAAAAGCACCAGGAAGGTATGTCTCCTCCAAGAAATTATGGGTCAGTGGAATAATACTTTCACAACAGAAAGCTAGAGGGATTATCTGTCCCTAATTAAGAAATATTTTTTGTTTTTAAACAAGAAAAGTGTGCACAAACAAAACACAGAATGAATTAAAAGGCTGAACCACAACAACAAAAAAAAAACCCACGTCTGGAATTTGCCAAACTTCATGATCAAAGTTTGGTAACGACAAATATGTTTCTGGGGCTCAAAGTCTTAATAATCAAGGAGTGTAGCATTTGGATTAAATGTGCACTCAAGGAAAAAAGAAATAAAAAGGTTAAAAAACTCCAACACATTCAAGATGCTAGAGAGCAAAGAGGGTTCAAGTTAGTTTGTGGAAATAGAAGCTGATTAAATATCTAGAAATAGTTTAATGAGCCACTATATACATGTGGAAGTGTTTCCATTAAATACTTATCTTTAACCACAAGCCAGCCTCTGCAATGTGTGTACCCTACTTCTGGTTGGTTACAAAAATAATTTTTTGATGCTTCTCGAACTATAATTTGCTGGGAGTGGGGAGTGGTATAGGATTCCAAGTTCATCTTCATGCTGTTTTAAAACCCTAACCTTCAAGCAAGAGCTTGATCTATGGGAAACAGCTGCAGAAAAGTAAATCTCCCTTTGAAAAAGTCCAGAATGTATTTTTGTTAAGTATGTTTTGAAGTCATGGTAGGAAAATTAGTGAAAATTGTAAATCTGCTTGCAAATCTGGTCATGTCTAACTCAAAGATTAGGGGAAAGATTCCAATTTAATAGCAAGACCATGACAACCCTAGTTAAGCATGCTCTAGGACAGAGCAGATGCGGCCCTTTGCTCACCTCCACGCGTTTTGGATTTATTGCATGCACCCAACACGTTTCATATTAGACACCCCTTGACTGTGTACTTGAGACAGCAGGGTTCAGTATGCACTTCCTCTGCAGACCAATATATTATTCTAAATTGAGCTAAAGTGTTTCCGTTTCATGAGTGATATAAAGTTCAGATTTGAGTTTTTAGGCAGCAGATTTGCAGTCATTCACCAGATATTTTTTTTCTTCATATTAAGAAAAGTAAGCTTTACCAAATAAAAAAAAATAAAAATCTGTCTTACTGAAAGTAATTCTGGATTTTGTTTGGCTTTGTTTAAAAAACCACACATTTATATTATTTTAATAGCTTACTTGAAGAATGGATTTGATCACCTCATGTTTAGTACTAATATACATTTAAATTATGGCTTATGATTTCTTCTGAAGAGGACTGCCTGAGAATGCAGGTGTAAAATTATGTTCTAAGACTGCATTTTAAAATTCTACCTAGAATAACAAAAAACATTTTATAGAGCCAATGAAAAGAGGAACATAAACATTACTAAATGTCTACTAGACATGCTAACACCCCCCAATCTTTTTGTTTCGTTTGATGTACCCATTGATCACGATTTCCAAGTTACTGTAATTGCACATTACTATTAGAAATATCAAGTTACCACATTTTCTTAGATAAGATTTGCGTGTACAATATTATGAAATAGTTAGGGTATTACATGTACAGGAATTGATAGAACCTGACTGTTTAACTACAAGCAACGCACTGACGTTGACGTTTCAGTAGTTTACAACATTCATATAAAGCAGTTAGCACTATACCATTTCAGTAACTGGAAGAACAGACCTACAGAGTTCCTGAGTTTTTTGCTAGAGTTGGATGAGTCAATGGTAGTCAGAAAAAGTACACAGTCCCACCAATCTGACCCTGTACATCAACAGCTACTACTAGCTGCAGTACTCTCACCTTAATGTTCTATTTTCTAGACACCATGCATACTGCTGCCACTGCTTTTAAAATAACGGCAGCAAGAAGACTCTGCTTACTGAAATGAGGTTCCAGAATGTGTGATGTATAAATGCACATGATAAATGAATCTAAAAGTGGCTTCTTTTTTGTCAGGTTACATTATATAAAGAGTTTTCATATTTTATCATTTAGATGGCATCCTCAAAATGCCTCCTCTTAGAAGTCTGTTCAAAAAAATCTGAACAGTAAAAAATACACTAAAATGGTGTATGTCCACTTAGATTGTCTTTCACTTCAAGCAAAAATGATAAAAGCAGTTCTACTGTACATAGAAACCTAATAAAAGGGCCAGTTTGAGAATACTCTCTCAGACTGTATAAAATAGTAATTTTTTTAAAGTAATTGAGGGTAAAAAAAAATACAAAGGCTATGGAAATACAGAAGAGATTATCAAACACCTGGCCTACAGAGCTCAAATCTGTAGCTCTCCACGAAGTATTTATAAGAAAGTGATTTACACATCATCTTCAAAAGAATGTTTAATATATTCTTTGTTTCCATCTAAACATGATCATGATGTTATGTGTTAAACAAACTAACTTTCTGCCCCACCCTTCATATAACAACCCTGGTAATACTTAAGTTACTATATATAAATTCCATCAGGGAATTAAAAAATGTCCTTATGATCTGGCAACTCAGTCAACTACAATCTTCAGTATTTTGGAATAAAAATACTGAAGATAGATCCCTTATTTTATTAATTGCCTTCTTAATCAGTTGCCCAGCAAAGCTGTGTATGCAAAAATACTTCCCAGTCAGGAAGGATTAGATAAGAAGTTTACTTGATGCCTGAACCTCAAAAATAGATTAATAATGCCCTTCCTAGGAATGTTTAGCTGCCACTTAAACTTCACTTTCATATGTAACTCCATTTCCCTCCAGGCTTTCCTCACAAATACGAAAGGGCGGCATATAAACAGCACTGTGCCAAAGGATCTCACATCTTAACAGTTGTTCTGTTCATGTCTGAACTTACTTAAGAGCAGAGACAGTTCAGTTCTTTCACATAAGATACCTCATTGATGACAATGCACAGGATTTGATGAGGTAACTAAGAACATGCTATATGTTTTCTAAGATTGCCCACAAATGTATTACCGGTAGTAAGTAAACTGTTTCCATATTTGTTGGAAGATAAAAGCAAAAGGTAAAAGTGAAAAGACTGTTCAACCCAACAAGTTGGCAGCACAACAGGTCATTCTAGGGACATCCCATGGAGCCTACCTTCCAAGTTACAAACATATAAACAGGGAACACTGCAGTGCTCTCACTCACCTCTGCCAAGCCAAGTCACTAAACAGGCAAACATGATGTCAGAAGCATTGTCCATTTTAAATTGTGTGATAAATAATTTGTTTAAACAAAAATCATAACCAAGAGAAATACAAGCCAAAAGAGAAAGCAACAGATTTTGTGTCAAGAAACCTTAGCCACAGTTATTTCATTTTCTTCAATGAAAAAACCTTAGTGTGTGAGCTCAGCTGCTCAAATAAATGAACTTAATTTAATTTTCTTCTTTTAATCCTCTACACCTGAGACACTGAGACTCAGTCATGGAGTATGACAGTTCTGTCCCTTATGATCTTAGTATAATCACACTACTAGAAAACAGTATGTTTGAATATACACATGGAAAAGTTTAGCAGGAAAGTAATGTCATGTCTAAAATTGGTGACCAGTAAAACATCCACAAATTGGCATAATGTTTGAAACTTCAAGAATCATGGTACCAGAAAACTTTAAGACTGCTACAGTCACAATTTACATCATATGTGTCCATTCTATAAGCCAAATTCAAGAACAGGAATTTTTTTGTTGTTGAACATAGCAGATGCAGATGCTCAGTTACTCAGTACAAATAGCAGAACGGAAAAAGGAATCAGTATCTACAAATACAAGGATGGGACATATACAGCTCAACTTTTCACAAGATCCGAGGAAACTGTGCTTATGGCCTGAAGCCTGACTTGCACTAGCAATTCCGACTCCACAACAGACAGAAAAGGCTAAAAAAAGAATACTTCCTTTCTTAGCTGTGAAATGAAAGAAACATTAGGGAAAAAAAAGTTCCCCAAAATATGCTGGAAATGGGCAGGGTAGGAGGAATTTATTTTACACTAGTCAGATGTCATATCTTTCTAAATAAGGCAAGTCCTAACTGAAAGGAAGGTATGATAACTTATATTAAACTAAGTGTCATTTTCTCTGTGTTCAACAGAAAGTTCACCTTCTTAGCCCTTGAAAAATTACCAAGCATCAAGTAGAAGTCTCCTTGGTGAAGTGGCATTGCTAATCCAGGTGTCTCTATGTTCCATGCTACCTTCAAGCCTACATGCCAAACAGCTGGGTCTCTTCCTCTCAGTTTTTGTTCATTACTTTCTTCCATGGATGAACCTTTAAAGAGAGAGAGAGAGAGAGAGAAAAAAACAAAAAACAAAAAACACCACAAAGATGACAGACAAGGTGAGAACCATAAAATACAATATCCAGTCTAATAATACAGACTTAATGATATCCCACATTGGTACAATCTTAATAGGCAAAATCAAAGCAACGTTTGTAATGGACTCAGGTTTTTCTGAAGTTCTCAAGTACATGAAATAGGAGTTTTAGTTAATCTTGACTTTTTTTTTTTTTTTTTTTATTTTTTACATTGATAAAACTGTAAGCACAGAAGAAAAAAGAAAATAATGCAGCAACACTGATATAAAAATAGATACCTTCTAAAAGAATTTCAACTCATAAACAGCCAAAACATTTTATGAACAATTTCATTTGCTTACATACTTGCAATTTCACCAAATGATAAACTGAGGCAAAGTAAGGTGAAATAATGGGCACAAAACACAATCTAGACCAACAAAGTTGAGAGAATCTTGCAATCATATCTGTCATTCTTTTCTCAAAATTATTAGTCAAACATGCCTAGATAACATGTGCAAGAACCAATGAAGCTTCAATGCATTTGCCACAACATTTTTCTTATCATTAAGCAACATGAATGTGTTGAGCTTGGGGAAAAAATAATCCACTGCATAGAAATAGTATTTAGAGCTTAATCCCTCAGAACTATTTTCATAAGCTTAGTTCACTGCAGTACAAACTGAAAGATACAGTCAGCATTTGTAACAAGGTATTTGGGAGCTATGGCATAACAGTTTTATGGCTAAAGTAACAGAGCATTTTGACAGAGGGAGGATGAGGTTTTAATAAGCAGTTGGCACAGAATAGCAATGAACAGTTAGAAATCATCAACTATGTAGCATGCCTAATTATTGCTCATAAATTAGTAACTGTGTGTGTCCATTTCACTGTCCATTTCAAATGGGTTTTCATATATTATTTTTTTTTACTTTTGTCTTCATTTAATTCTAGAATAAAAATACTAAAGATTTATAACTCTTATTACAACAAGTATACATAAAAAGTGACCTTGAACTCACACTTTCAAAATATTCAAGTCATTTACCTTGCATGGTTACTGCAATGTTTCTTTAGTTGGGAATACCCTTTAGTAATTAATAAATTGTCTTAGTTTCCTACATCAACTAAATATTGCTCAAATTCAGGAAGCAGAGAGCCAAAACCATTTAAAAAGCCAATCTAAAGTTCTTCATTAGAACTCCTACTGTAAATTCGGTTCCCGTATTCCCTCCCTTTGCTGTTGCAGTTCTCATTCAGCTGAAGCTTTGGCTCAGGAGCTCTAGGCCTTTCTATCAAGGAGCACAGAAATGAGAAAACAAGAGCTAGCAAATGCTTAGAAAAAATCAATACTAAAGTCTTCAAGGGGCTTTCACATTTTCTGCCCTCTTCAGATAAATCGTAATTTAATTTAAGAAAAAATGTTTTCTGAAAACTGCAAATAGGGTGGCTTTCAAGGCATTTTTAATGCAATACATCATGGATATTATAAAGAGAGGTAACCTTTCTGGGTTAACTCTCTCTGTTATGCTGCTTTCCCATTCACTCTGGCAGCAGCACTGTTCACAATATGGCACCAATAAAATATAGAACTACAATCAGAGACAGCAATTTCAATCAAAGTTTCCTGGGGTCTCCTCATAAATCCAGCACCTTTGGAATGTGCTCGTTAAAATGACTTATTTTTTGCAGTTTGATAAATTTTTTATTGCTTAAGTACAGAGTTCAAATGTAGCTCACAGTCTCCTTTTCTCTATATTCACAGTTATCGCACCTTATAATTATCAGCAGCAATTGAAACTGATTGCTCCTACCATGTTATTTCGGTAACAAATGGAAGCAAGCTGCTACTAGCTTTTAAATGCAAGCTATTCTGACAGTGAGAGCAAGAGAAAAAAAAAAAAGACACCTTCACATTCGTGCTCTTGGTAGCACTGACAAACTTTTAAAAAGAAGTTGTTCTTAAATTCTTTATGTCACACCTCAAGTATGACTGAATGCTCTATATTCACTGATGTAATTACAGTTCCCAAAGTAAAAACACTTGGATGCATCTAAACCACAGGTATTCACAAGTAAATCACGTGGATCTTCCACATATGCAGCGCCTTAAGAACATGTATTTATTTTGGAGTAGACTATATAGAAATGGTCAAATGTAACAGTTTTTAAGGGAAATATAATAAAATTTATCTGCAAATTTGAATTCTGTTCATTAAAGATGTATAGAATTTGGCCTGCAAGAAACCTTTACGCTTGCATCCCTGCTGAAATGATGCAACCAGGTAACAAGCTTACCACAACATAGCAACAATAACTCATCAAACCTGTAATTAAGGTAAAACCATGAAAGTGAGAATGTAGCTGCAGAAAATTGGCCACAACATTATGCTTCTAACTAGTCGGCTTGAATTTCAGAGATGTTGCAGGTCTAAGACCTGATCTTATCAGGTCTGGGTCATGGTGAGGTTCAGAACAAGAAACTTGTTTTCCTGGATCTAGTTTGGTCATTGTTCCTCAGCACAGAAAGAAAAAGCAGCCTTGAAAGATTTCTTTGCTAATTGGCACCAAAAATCTTCAAGGAGAGTTTGAGAGTTTTCTGACACTCTGAAACCTAAATGTTCTCTATTCAAGTCAAACTGTAATGCCAAACTACATCCTAAATGTAATCTTAAATCAAACATGCTTTCTTAAACGGAATCACTGCCAACACATTGCTAAAAACAAGGATAGTAAACATCTAGTTTGTCATTAAATCCAAAGGACCATTGCTAGACAGATACAGAAAAAAAAAATAAAAATATAGTTTGATTGTTTTATTCCAGAATTTAAAAGAATTTGGGCACATGTTCAGTGATTAATAAAATATATACATTATTACTGTCTTCTATAGCAATTGATATACGTTATATGCAAGAAGTGAAAAAAGCAGAGCATACTTTGCTTTTCAGGAGCTTGTGGGAAAGAATGAGTACCCACCCAGAGTTTTTTCTTCTATCTTATTACTGAGAAGCCATAGCATAAGAGGTTAATTAAACTGTACCAACATTTTAGCTTTTGCTTGCAACTGACATTCACAAAAACAAAAACCAGATTTGCCAACACTGTTCTTATCAATTCATATTTGGAATACTGTGTCCAAATATATCAAGAACAAAAGCACTAAAATAAGAACAAAGAATATTCTGCCATCTCTTCATGCTTGAAGGACACTTTATCGAATCAGTCAGAGCATGGTTAAAAAAAACCCACAACAGCAGTTAATTGAAACGATAATTTCTTTTTAGAAAACAAGGATTCAAACCTATTATTATAAGAATAATCAGATCATTGCAAATTTCTGATTCTCTCATATAATTCCAACTGGTCAGAACCTATAAGTTACAGATGTGACAATTTTGCTCACATATTCATTTCTTAAGAAGCAATATAGATTTTTCTACATACCATTTCTAGTCCTTCAACAAGCAATATTTCTACTACACTATTGACATTAAAACCCATTTAATATAATTGTTCTTATCCTGTACAAACATCTACTTCATGACTTCTATCCATTAAGCAGTATATAAAAAGGATTATTGGTCAACTACAGATCTAGATTGACTTCAGTGCTGAACAACTTTTGTAGTTTCAGGATTTTTTTTTTTTTAACCTAATGAGGAAACATACATCTGTAGTGAATCTCAATTATTTTTATTCGCAATTGCTGTAAAAATTAAATAGCTGTCTTTAGAGTTAATACTAGGATAATGCATCTAACATCACACTGTGAAAAAATACAAACAGCATTTTACAAAAGAAATAAGCATAAAAGCTCCTTCAAGATCAGTCATTAATGCAACTAACTGTAAATTTGTTAAGCCTTTCAACATTACCTTGTCAGTGAACTAAGCCAGTTGTTCCGTAAAGAGATTTATATAGCAAGTAGGTCTTAAGTAAGAGGACAAACAAGATACTGTATAGAATTCCAGAGAAAACTAACCTCAAACATTGTTTGTGGGAAACCCAGGTAAAAGAAACATGGACACTTTCAGTGACTACATTATTTTCCATCTCTAAATTGGTAACCGAAACAAGTCTCTACTTCAAAGAGCATCTTTAGAACCAACTAGTTCTCTGCTAAGCAGTAAAACTTCCTACAAAACTTACAAAGACCGGAGGGAAAGCTGTTCATTAGGAAATTTTCATGGACAAAATTCCATTTTTGAAAATGCCCTTATACCACCAATATTTGGATTGCAGTTTACTCTATAAATAGAGCAGGAAATAAAAAAGGGCTATTAGTTTACAATATTAAAATCCTGAACAAGTTTTTACCTTAATGCTCTCATGTGATATGATATTTGTAAGCTGCTGTGTTATTAAAAATCCTAAATTGGTCAAAATTTGGAATTCCTATTCCATGGTAAATTCTGAAAAATAAATTAATTCCAAATAGTGTTATTGACAGCATCACTGAACACACATTCTGTAATGTATTCAGTTCTGCATATGCAACATGACTGTCACTCATGCACTTTAACACAGTATACACATTAAAAGGAAATTTCCCAAATTTTTGTGAGGGCCTATTCTTATCACTTGATAACACACTTTAAATCTAGTGTAATGTAATACATTTCATTTTAATGTAAACAAAAGCAAATATTATTCACATAAACATTAAGCAAAACGTCTCATTTTGTTGTTAGAAGTGTACCTCATTTGAAGTTGCTCTGAAACAGTTTGACACTGGAAACGAGAAAATTAACAGTGATACTAATTAGAATATTGGCTTGTTCCAATATCTTTATGTTGGCTCTCAAATTTCTTTTCTGGCATATTAAAAACTGCTTTTACTCCAATTAATATTGATCAAAAGTTTCAAACATTAAATTTTCATTATGGCATCAAACACCAAACAAGTGAACAAGAAAATAAAGTTGTTTCAATTACAGTAGTCTCTGGTTTAATACTATTTAATCAAATAAGTATGTACCAAACAAATTATGATATAGAAATGCAAATTAAATTTAAAAGAAAACCATGTAACCTGAGTTATGCATGTCTAAACAGTCTAACAAACAGCTGCCAGCATGCAGTAAGATTGCTTGACTCCTATGGCTCTTGCTATTCAGAATCTGAAAACCTGCATTTGTGGCAGGACAGATCGGTATTAGCCATGAAGCTCTGGAAGCCCTAGCTTCCCCATGCCACAGAGCTGCCACAGATCCTCAGTGTGTGGAGTACTACAGAGATCAGTAAGAATCTAAGGAATAGAGAGCTGACAAAAAAACACGTGCAAGACCTAGCAGAAAAGCTAGTTTTAACAAAAAAATCAACATTTATGATTATGAATAATTTATGTTTGAACTTCCCACAGAATCAGTGTTTTCTCCCAGAAAATTATTAATCCATCTAATTGACATATTTTAAGGAAAAATTATTCCATAAAAAAAATTCTGAGCACCTCTATTCTTTTTGTTATGTATTCTATAATGATTCTCTAATAGTTGTTATACACTACAGTGAGAATTCAATGCTAACGCATTACTAAAGGAACTAAATGAATTAATGGAGTAAGTAATAAAAGATACTGGCATAAAAAGCAAATATATTTATGAAAAAAGGGAAGAGGACTCAAGATATGCTTCTACAAAGACTTAAAAATAGTCTTTAAAAAGATGTGGAACCTCTTCTTGCTTCACAGTTATGAAGAGCTTGGTAAAGAGACACAGTAAATAAATACTGACAGTCTTTGTGAACTGTGGAAACCACCAACACATTAAAGTGATATGGAACTGGAATGAATAACACTATAAGCACTGATACATTTGTAAACACCAGCATTTGAAAGATATAAACAGGAAATCAGAAGTGCAAAAGAATCTATTTAGTTTTCTAAAATCAAGTAGGTTAATTATTCCTCTTGGATGTGCTGGGTAGAAAACTTTTAACACACACAGGTTATTTACTGTCACTTAAATTACAATGCCATATTCACAAACTATAATCAGGTTCCATTTCTTCCAAATTATTAGTAAGTTTGCCAATTATAAATACAGCTTCATTTAGGGACACAGACAGATGCGAGTCAACTGGTTTTACATAAAGGTGTACTATGGGAAGTTCCTTGTGTTGCTCAGAAACCATGCCAGGCACCTTAAACTCCCTCTGAAGTTCATGAAATCAACTTAAGCCATCCTCAAGAACTATCAAGTGGAATTCAATCTTGTTCAGATTCAGATCTGACTTCATAAATCATTTTCTTCCAAAAAAAAATCTTCTGCATTATCTCCAGCTACAGTGAGGTTTTAGTATCACCACCTCCTGCCAAGAAATCCCCCAAATAGATAATCAAATTTCAATTTGACCAAAAACTCTGCAAAAGTTCAAAATCACTGCAAAAATTCAAAAATTTGAAGTAGTAATTTTGTATTTTTTTTGTAAATGTGAATGATAGAATGATCATTCACTGGAAAGTTCTTAGCTTTGTAAAGTTTTCATGTCTATCTTTAAATCCTTCAGGAAAAAAATATGAACTTTTAAGTGTTCTTATGAAAAAACCTTGTATGTGGCAAAAACATTAAATGCATACAGATATCAAAATAATTTTTTGTCTAAATAGATCAAATCTTTCTTCCTACCCTTGTCAATCAAAGCTTCCATAGAATTTGCAGTGGTTTTAAAACAGCATAAATGTTACCTATCTAACTTGCTGAACTTGAAGAAACAAAATCAAGTGACAAATCTGAATAAACATAGCAGCTTTCCTCTTTGTTAATTTATAGCTCTCTGAACTTAAAGGGACTCATTTTTTCCCCTCCACAAGCAAGTTTCATGTTAAAGTTAAAAGTGTTAAAATCATATTACAATAAATCCTCACAAACAGTATTACTACTTCATGTTTATGCTTCTTTAACTTAATGAATGTTAACTGAACTTAATGTTAATGAAAAAAATATTTATCTACAGTACTACTGAAAAAATAATTACTGGACATAAAATACCAATGTCTTTGGCAAACAGGACAGAAAAAGGTTCATTAATAAAATGACACTTCTACTGGTCAGGGAATCTCTTCTATTCAGTTTGCTAAACCAGTTGATGTTTTATGTCCAGGAAACTGTAAATATGATGATTTCAGCTGAAATTTAAGAAACAAAGTGACCTATTTTTTTTCAAAACTAATAACAAAACTAACAAGAGAATGCACATGAAAGTATAAGCTATTATTTTTACATCATGGTCTTTAGCTAAAACCTACCAAAGTCAACGTGAATTCTTCCCATGTTTTGAAGCAAACATCAAAGGATTTTTGAAAGGACCAAAAACCAGTTGTGAATTATGAAACATAACAGAGCATTTGCAAATTCAACTCAAGTGCCTAAATTCTAATCTTATGTTTGCAAAACTGGAAGCCATTAGAAAAAAATCCAAGGCTTTGTTTAAACAGTTAGAAAAAAAAAATCCTCATATCTGTTCTTAAATAAAGATAAAAATGAGAAAGGCAATTGAAACTAAAAATGAAATATTTAACGACTCTTCAACTACACTTTTTTCCCCTTAATACTGCATTTAAATGTTTTTTAAACAACTAAGAGCTGCAAAGCCTGTCAGACAACAGGTCTTTTAATGGAAAATTTCCACCCTTCTCAACTACAGAAATGTTGGCAAGTCCTCCATAAAACATGCATTAGCACTACAGCACGCCTAGACAAAATGTATATACTTCCAAGTAAATACAGTAATACTTTTATACAAAACCAAGCTAAAATGATCTTTCTATAGAAAGAAGAGTCGTAAAATCAGCATAAAGCAGCAGTGAGTTTGTATATGATGAATGATACAATGAAGGCAGTGATCTCAACTACAATGAAGCATTTTACAGAATAGAAAATATGCACATGAGTTAACCCGAAAGATGTATTTGACAGATTTTGATCTCTGGGCTCTTAGTCAAGATTTTAATCATACCAATTTTCAAATCTACTTGGAGAACAACTGATAAGCCCACTGCAGTGAACACAGGTGTATTTTGTACAGGTTTTAGTAGAAAAAAGATAGGTCTTAAATACAGAAAGTAGCACAATATATTCAGAAGCACGTAACAAATCTAGACTAGCAAGCAGGTGTGCTTATGTACGTACACACAAGGCAACATAAAATTGCTTCAGGGATTTAATATATTTATATCATTAGTCAACTCCTACCTCCCATTACTCACCTTCACAGCTATAACTGTACACAGCAACCGTTGACCTTTCAACCAGATTCTCGTCATGGTGCCAGCTCACTGCCATGTTCCCCATTCCAAAATAAGGTTCTTGTTTCAAGTACAGCATTTGTTGTGGATCCATATAATTTAATAAAGTCACGTTATAAGATGTTCTGTTCTTTAGACTTAAATAGTCATCCTCTGGAACACAACAACTGCTTTGATCCTTTGAACCTGACCCCTTCTCCATAAGAGAAGTAGCAAAATTTTGCTCCCTATCTATTACAGTAGTATCTTTACTTTCTTTGGTCTCCAACAAATTTTGTCCTTGTAATGCCTTGACTGCTTCAATATGCAAGTAGTCATTCAGTCTGATTAATGCTTTACAAGCATCATGTATTTGAGGACTGCAATATTTTATATCATAACCTTCAATAGGCCAAGGAACTGTAAATAATCTTGTGTTCAAGTACTTGTAAGTGCATCCTGGATTTCCAATTAATATGCGAGACACTGGGGTAACAAAATCTTTTCCTTTGATCCTTACAAGATCTTGAAAGAAACAATCATGTTTTCGCAAGGTCAGAAAGCCTTCTTGTACCATTTGATGGAGCTCTTCAGGCACTGTATCAGATTTCCTGAAAATCAGCTTGGAATATTTCGTCTTCCACTGAAGAAGAAAAAAAGAAAACCAAACAACAAAAACAGCAAAAGAATTTTTTTTTTTTTTAAGAAACCAAAGTATTTAATATATATATATAACATATATATACTTTCTTTTATATTTATATATATATATATATAAAAATATATATATATATATAAGTATTTTATATATATATATATATATAAAAATATATAAAACCAGACAAGGCTAAACTGACAAGTTATCAAGCACGAGTCTAGAATACAGTGAAGAAATAGATGCCAGTATTTGTTAATTTATTTTCATATTTCAGTATATTGCACTAACTGTGGATACATACTAGTGGCCTGTAACCAGAGAATATCAACAGGGCAAATCTATAAATAAATAGATCTGAGGATTCTAGCAGAAATCAACAGAATGTATAAACTCCCCTGATGAATCTGTAGATAATGCTACCTTTAAGTGTACAAACAATAGAATATCAAGCAGTAAGAAAGCACCTTGTCTTTTTCCAATGGTTGCAAAGACCATTTGGTCCCATTCTAATGTACAGAATTCTAGAGGGCTACACATAAACTGAATTAGTTTTATATAACAATAATTTTTCAGGAAAAAATAACAAAATGAAAATATACATTTTCAAAAAAAAGGCCAACATTCTGCTGTACTGCACCTCCATCTACAAAAAAAGTCCTTGACATACTGGTCCTTTCTATTTTCACATTCCTCAATGCATGCCAATTAACTCATCTATTTTATCTGAAAGTTCCCCTTTTAGATAAAAGAAAATTTCCAACTTTATTTTCCTCCCCATCTCCCCACCTGTAATATCTTTTTCCTCATATCCTCTTCTGACCACACCAGCTCTGGCACCAGCTGGAGATCTGAATCCAGCAGTGTGTGGAGGCAACAACTTCCAGCAAGTTATAACACTGTTAATCAGCAGTATCTTGCTTTGTATACAAAATACTGCTTCCCCCTCCAGGAAGGCTTGGATACTCACTAAGGAAGTTGAGTATCACATAATCACACCTTTTATTAGTTGCCTGCAAATCTGCTTTAACTACTGCCGAGACTGTTTGGCAAACTGGACAAAGGCTAGAGGATAAACTCTTAGATAGACTAAATTCCTATGTAATTCATTAAAATTAATTAATCAAAAAAAACCACCAAAAAAAAACCCCAAAACAAAACAAACAAACAAAAAAACACAAACAAAAAAAACACCAGATGCTAACTAATGCCCTTAGTAAGAAGAGGCTGTAATGTGAGTCTATCAGGTATCAATTAGCATGTGTGAAGCTCTAAACGACTCACTATACCTATTGCCTTTTGTGCAGCAGTTAAGCCACCAGTCTGTGGAAAGGTAGATACTGATCGTGTTGTGAGGAAAAAAAAAAAAAAGCAAATAAAAGTCACCAACACAAAAGCATCACAATGACCAACAATCCATCTGCAGGCTTCTTCTGGTACAACTCAAAACCACTTTACTAGCACTATATACTTCCAAGTCAGATTTAAACCTGCCTTTCAGGAAATTAATTTTAAAATCCGGAAAAGGTTTCTTTAAGAACCACAAACTAGGCAGTAAGTCAGTATTCATTTTCTACTGCATGGAAACAGTTAAGACTTTTGCATCATTACGCATTGTTATCCTACAACACTGAAGATGTGGCTTTATAGCATCATTTGTTTCTACTAAAAAGGAGAACTCTATTCTAATTTTATGATTATACATAATAAATCTTAGTTTATCTATAAAACCCTGCCACCATTACTTGTGAGTTTTTACTGTGACACTAACTCCCTTTATTTACACATCCTTATGATTTCCAAAACCTAGTTTCCTAGAGAGAGGGAAAAAAAGGCCACATAACAGTACTTACAGATAATAATTTATGGTAAAAGTATTTACATGCTTAATTTTAAATACCAAAGCTTGAATATGATCCCAGGTCAGTTTGAATGTCCCTCTACAATCCCCATGACAGAACATTGGATCCCAGCTTTCATTAAAAGAACTGAATATGAACTTGATAAACACAATTTGCCTGAGCTTGCCAGAAGCCTGAAACGATTCCTTTAGAGGTCCTGAACTGTCCCTTTTCTTTCAATCACTGCTTTGTATCTGTAGCTTTTGAACAGCACAGTGAAAAAAAAATCCTTATAAAGAATAACTCCTGAAATGAGTAACTGCAAATTTTAAGGATTTACAGCTATAGGCTACAGTCAGTTGTGTGGTATAGGTTGATGGGAATCGTAAGTATTCTTTCACTATCATAGTTAATAATGACAGAGCATTATAAGTTGTGACATAAAGATTATGACTGCACGATTAGTTTTATCATGCAAGTGATATATGTAAAAAAAAGAGCACTACCAGTTCTATGGCAGTATCCCAGTATTTTTTTAACTAATTCTGTATATTGGACATACTCAGGTCAGATTAACCAATTACCACGTTACATATGCTATTATGGAATATTTGAAACACCATTATTACTAAATATTTTTAAACCATTTAATATACTGAATTTCTGACATGTATCGCACACAAGAAATTCCAAACAATTATTACAACCTGAAGGAGGGAAATAACAATATGATGTAAAACAACTAAATGCCTGAAAACATGCACTAGAAAGGAAGCGCAACAAATTTTACAAAGGTAACAACATTGTATTCCACTCCAGAACTCCAGAGGTAATGTCTTCCACATTTTTTTGCCAGCCAAATCAGAGGCATATTACCTTTGGGTTGTGTTTTAAAATGATATGCTTAAGAACTATTTTATCATTAAGTTACACAGTATACTTAGGATTCTACCTTAAAAAAACCCCAAACCAATACACTGATATCTCAGAATAAATCCGGAAGTGGAAACACATTTTCGACACATCACATGAAAACAGTTTGGTTGTCTTTAAATCTCCGACTAGTCTTTGTGCTATGTCCTACATAAGGAAAGCATTAAGAGATCAGAACACAGGGTGAAAGCTGGGTTCACACTGGACACCTAGTTGTTTTGGGGGGATGGGAAAGGGGGAGTAATCATGTACTCTGTGTTGTAACTCTGACAGCAAGTATTAAAGGTCAATGCACTGTTTGCTCTGAAAGAAGTAGGTACATTACTGGCAACTACAGGATGAAAGAAAAAGCCATCTGATGCTCAATTCTTCACATGAATGTTACCCACATGATTTTAAGTATACACATGCTTTCACTTCTAATGGTGGTACTCAACACAGAGAATCACCCTACAGGATGACCCAAGTGATAAAATAACGTTAGAGATCAGCAGTGAGAACCCTTGATAAGCAAACTGCCACTTATGTCATGCAACGATAGTTGTACTTCAGATAGTTGTGAATTGCCTTGTCAACCAGACTTCTTCTTGTTCATAACTGGCTTTAAAAACTACATTGTTTCAGCTTTTGGTTTAGGATTAATTTCTAAAATGTTCCATCAGGCAAGATTTATTGAAAGAGGATGTCAGTGAAGTCTTACTTGTTATGGAATTTCTTAGTTTTGTTCAGAGTGCACATTTCCATACCTGACAGAATACTGTAGGTTTTTTACTTGCATCTCATGTAATCCAACACACCCTTCCAACATGTTCAGAGACTCCTGTTTTATAAGGGTTGGATCCTTAAGGGAGCAAGGCAGGTCTCTCCAGGAAAGACAGACTATAAAAATAAACTGTATATGATTTTATATTTTGCCAATTTGTTGTCTTCAAGCTCTCACCCTTCTTTCCCCTCCATCCGTAGTACATTTAAGCACCATGGAACTTGTAGTGTCTACAGCTGTGATTAAAGTAACATTTCATAACCACCATAAGAATTTCAAAAGTGCTTGCGATGCTTATGATTATCACATATATTTAAAAATACCTAGCATGCACACAAACACTACACAAAAAGTATAATTCTATATGATGCAGAAAGAATGTATCTAAACCCTATTAAGGCTTGAATAGGTCTGATTTCACTGCTTGTCTTGTTCCCATTATCCTCTATAATTATGGGTTATTGATACTGAGCAAATGAGATACCACTTGGACCACTTGGCTTCATCTCTTTTCATGTTAGCTCCACAAGACTGTGGGTTTACAAAGATAGGAAGAAGAAAAAGATGCTGGATACAGCAGTTCTTAGCAGCAACAGGTAAGAGAACAAACAGGAGGGGATGTAGTAGGACTAGGAAAGATGTAACAGTAAGCTACCTGAGTCTCAGAAGGAGGAAGAGTTTTTTTCTTTAACATTAGTTTAAGACTGAAAAGCATGTGTTTGTATCTTGGTTTTGAGGGTTTTTTAAAAAAAAGAAAATAAAAATCATTCTGTTAAGTTCTCCTACATTTTTCCAGCTTTTCTAAACTTTTCCTTGCCCTTATCCACAGAAGTGCTTTTATGTTTAACAACAAGCTATATGTTTTCATATTTTTATTCCTACAGATGTTAAAGATCCCAGTCAAAAGCTTACTTCCACTAAGTTCAGCACTAAGAATAAGGAGAAAACTACACTTTCCCTAAGCATCCTACAACACAAATGAACAAGAAAGGTGAGGAAAGTATACAGATTTCTCAATATCACAATTGTAATCCTGTGGAAAAGCTGGAGTTTGACTTCATGCTTCTGAGTCACAGTCCATTATATGACCCATAAATGCATCTTTCCTTTTTGATAGTGTGATGTGTGCTAAATTTTTCTTGGCCTTCGAATTCTACAAGAGAAATGAATTCTTGCACAAAAAGTCAGACCTATTTTTATGCTACCATATACATCTTTGAGCCATATATCAAAACAAGAAAGGTGACATGTCTGTAATATAAGCACGGTTGATGTAGCTGTTCAAACTATGAGATTCTTTCTTATGTTTTTCTTTTTACCATGTTCCAATTTAATCTAATTGAACCTACAATTCTTGCCATATGTTTTGTAGCTGACCTAGAAAGATCCAAGATAGATGCAGAATACTCTATAAATTTCATGATGCTCTTCCATACATTCATTTGGTTTACTACTCATGTGGCTACTGGACTTATTTTAACTCTTATTTGGTTTCATTTGAGGCATACATTCCAGTTTCCACAGTTCATTTTGTAAGCAGTCTTAAGGGTTACTTAATGTTTAAAAGTAGAATTAAGCCAAAAAATTTCAAATTTCTATGTTAACATTTTCCCTGTTTTGTCAGACCTGACCTATAAAGAATAGGTCTCTTCACAACTCAGACAAAAAACAACAACAACAAAAAAGAATGGAGACATGTATTTTAATAAAGCATAAGAAACCATGATACATTGTTACGCACGTTAACTGGTACTTAGGTACTGATACTCAGGGCAAAATCCTAAAAATAAATTAAGTTCACAAAGTTTTCATTCTTGAATATCCCAATTTTAGAGGTCTTATTTCACACCACCTGGAAGTGCATTACCAGCCATCAAGATACCTTTTTCGTATCAGATTTCAGAGTGTCTCTTTCAAGAAAGATTTATTTGTTGTTCAGTGCAAGCAGCCATTTTAGTTTGAAAGAAGTACAGTAAAAGAAATACATTACCAAATGATGGAAATCAGCATCGGCTGGTGTCATGTATGGAAGTCTATTCTCTCCAAGTTCTTCAAGAAGCTTTTTTTTCTGTTTTGTAAGGGTAAAATTGAAAAAAAATTTAAACTAAAAAGCAGATATAAACAGCCAACTATAAAATTAGTTGTATTAAAAAGACACAAACATGTTCAATTATTTATTCTGCTACCTTCAGTTCTGGAAAACTGAATAAGGAAACATGGATGCAAAAAATCAGTGGAGCTTTTCCACTTACAAAGCAGTAATTCAGGTTAGGTAGTTCCAGAGCATATGAGTATTCTTCCTCCTAAATTCTTTTTTAGATAATCAGTCTTTATTACACTGATGAAAATCCACCTTGGTTTAATGTTCTTCAGAACAATGCCTACTTTATACCTAGATACCAATTTATTTCTTTTTCATTTTATTTTCTACTTCAACTTGTGGATCCAATGGGTACAAAGCTCATACTCCATTAAATGACTCAATAATACACTTCATTAAAACAAGCCTCAATGTTGGGCATACCCTACAATGTTTCCTGAAATGGGTATATGAAGGAAAAAGAAAACATTATCTGCTACACACCAGAGCCCCTACAACTTGGCAGTATTTAAAATGCCATCCTCAAGACCTGCCACCCCATCATCCAGCCACAAATCTGGATTGATGTTGGGAGTGCACTAAGAACCAGCTGACTGCAAAGAGCAGGTTTTCTCTGTCCTCTTGTTCTCTTAACTCCCTTTTTACTTCTGTTTTAGACTGAGCACCTCTATACCAATGTTTAGTCAACAAAACCTGCTAAGATAAAAGCCTGATTTTCCCCAAACTGCATTTTCCAGGTTTTTATTAACAAAAATAAGATTTTTGTATGCACTATACAAGAAATTGTGCAGCTAAGGATTTGGAAAGTGCACGAGATATTTGAAACTTGCCATCAGATTTTTGGACTCAAACATTCCAATCCATGGTATGTCCATTCACATTTATCTGCCCACAGTCTAACACAACACTAACTCAACACGGTAGAAGTATAAATCAACAACAACATGAAAATTGTAACAGTGAAAGAAGTATTGGCCTAGAAAAGTAATACACCATTTCCTTTATTTCTTCTTCATTTTAGCTTGCAAGGATGGTTCCTTCACAAACTTTGATCGTTAACAAATACTCACTAATAAAAATGCAACTCAAAGATCATAAAACTAAATCTGCAATAATGCTTAAGTATTTCAGATATCAGGATTGAAATTCTCATTTTTACTGCAGTATTTTCAACTACATAAACACTATTACAAAAAATAATTGAAGTTGTAGCTAGCTCAATACTTTTATGTTGCAAGAGCAAGACCAGATGGAAATGGAATACAGTTTTTAAAGGAACGATAAGGGTGTAACAAAGGAAAATGCAGAGTAAGTTAAAAACGGGTATCACTAACACTTTGATAAAACCTAGTTATACGGGAACAACTACATATTTCATCACCTAGATATCACTGCAAATTGATTAATCCATAGACAAGAGAATTCATTGTTAAAAGAAACATTTCTCTCTTTTTTCTTGTAAAATCTCCTTTTCATAATCTTTTTGAGTTGCACAAACCAGATCTTCCCTATTCTGCCAATCCTATTTTAAAAAGGAAGGAAGAAATATTGCATGTAATAACTAACTGCTGGCTTATAGCAAACACATAAACAAGGAAAGCTGAACTACGATGAGCGTTACTGTATATTCTATTCTGTGACAGTGAATCTAATGTATTCAAATTTAAGCATCAAGGAAGATGACAGAGGCTTAACATCATGAGATTTTAAGATTTAGCACTAACAGATCAGTCCAACTAAAATAAGAGCAGGTAGCTCTCACTTACTCATCTCCACACTCACGATCTGCTGAGCACTGACTCGACTGAGAAGAGCAGCACTGAAATTTCTGAACCAGCAATGTAATTTCTGTAGATCCCTAGTTTTCTTTGGGGACAGGTTGTTGGTAGGTTGACATGAAGTCATTGGTGAAACCAAGCATAATGTAACTTCAAATTAAATTGGCAGAAAATGACACACTAATTGGCTGCATATTCTACAACAATAACACTTCTCTATCACAAAAAGCTTGCTACAATTTTATTACATGAAATCACTGAAAACATTAGATTGGCTTTGATATCTGTAAAAGAAATCATATTAAACTGCAGGAAAAAAATAATGTATTTCAACACGGACATTTCCCACATCTGGGGGGGGGGGGGAA